CAGAGTTGGAGGGGACCTTGGAGGTCTTCTATTCCAACCCCCTGTTCAGGCAGGAAACCCTATACCATTTCAGACAAATGGCTATCCAACATCTTCTTAAAGACTTCCAGTATTGGGGCTTTCACAACTTCTGAAGGCAAGTTGTTCAACTGATCAATTGTTCTAACTGTCAGGAAATTTCTCCTTAGTTCTAGGTTGCTTCTCTCCTTGATTAGTTTCCACCCATTGCTTCTTGTTCTGCCCTCAGGCGCTTTGGAGAATAGCTTGATTCCCTCTTCTTTGTGGCAACCCCGTAGATATTGGAAGACTCCTATCACGTGCTTTTGAATTCTTGGTTCCAGGGCCTGTTTCCACCACCACCCCCAATACACCTCTAACCAGATTGAGTAGTCCTTGACTTACAACCGTGCATTTACTTGCCTTACTTTGTTACAACGGCAGAAGGCCAGGGAGGGAGAGAGGGAGGGAGAGAGGGAGGGAGGGGGAGAGGAGGAGGGAGAGGGGGGAGAGAGAGGGAGTGTGTGTATGTGTGTGTGTAGTTTATGCATCCTAAGGAAACCAACCCATCACCCAAAATCGGATCCATACGACCTGTAGGGTATTGTGTAGGCTACGCATTGTACAAGCGTTCCCATTTGAGAATATGAACAAGTGACGGACTCTTGCAGTGTTGCGTGGTCTTTTGGTGCTCTCTGATGACGTTACCTAGTTTAGTAATGAAGCGTCTGCAAGAAAAAGCTCCATGTTCAGAGAGCACGGAGAGAGCCCTCCTCCTCCGCTCTGTACACCCCACTCCTTCTAGCACTGATGATGTTACCTAGTTGGGTCATGAGATGTCTGCAAGAAAATAATGAAGTTCCGAGAGCACCAAGGACCCCACAGATCAACCCTGAGCTACAGATATTCTCTTCTGTCAAGTGTTCCTGTCTCCTGATGGGAATACAGGTTGTCCTTGACGTACAGCAGTTCAGTTAGTGACCGTTCAAAGTTACAACACACTTACGACCATCACCGCATCCTTATGGATCAAAATTCAGACGCTTGGGAACCAACTCACATTTATGACACTCGATCCCAGGGGTCACGCGATCCCCTTTTGCGACCTTTTGACCAGGCAAGTCAATGGGGGAAGGCAGATTCACTTCACAAACCTTGTTGCTAATTTAACAACTGCAGCGTTTCACTTAACCAGCGACAAGGAAAAAGTCGCAGAAAGGAGCAGAACCGATAAAGGCGTAAAATGGGGCAGAGCTCACCTAACAAGGGTTTCACTTAGCGACGGAAACGTTGGGACTCAATTGTGATGGTAAGTTGAGGTCTGCCTGTATCTGAGGCATGTGCTTTTACTTCGCAAATCAGGCTTCACCCTACTGATCTTGTCCAACGGAGGGCCGCCTTCTGCCCCCAGGTGAGACAGCTGGCTGTCTCAAGTGAGCACTGAGGAGCAAAGGAAAGCGATGGCATCGTTGGCATCCTGCCGAAGTTGGTGTCAACCCTGAAGCTGACCTGACTGAAGCCATCTTGACAGCTTCCGCATGGCCACACGGGAGCTGAGGGGTAGGGAAGGAGGGGAGGGAGGATTGAGAGAGCTGGGACTTTGTAGTCAAAACAAAATACTTTCTCTTGGGAACCAAGGACATTCTCACACCTGGTTCGAAGAAGGCGGAGTGATGTCACCCGGCAACCAGACAGCATCGCAATTGGACCATATGACTGATTGTTTTGAGAATGGGTGGAAACCAATCAAGGAGAGAAGCAACTTAGAACTAAGGAGAAATTTCCTGACAGTGAGAAAAATTAGTCTGAGGAACAACTTGCTTCCAAAAGTTGTGAAAGCTTCAAGAACTGGAGTTTATTAAGAAGAGTTTGGACAGCCATTTTTGTCTCTTGATTGAGCAGGGGGCTGGAGGTCCCTTCCAACTCTGTTATCCTGTGATGAATTCTACAAATTCATCATCATAATTTCATAGAATTAAAAGTAAAAGTGACAAACTTTTACTTTTACTTAGGTCAAAACTGCGGGAATCTTCAGAGCCAGTTTTCACCAGATCTGTGCCAATAGGATATTTCCAATAAAGGTATTCTTTGAGGCAATCCACATGCTTTGGAGTTTTGCTTGATATGGGTTTATTACTTGGAAGTTGGCTTAGCTGCGTTCACCAGTGGCCGACCAAGACAGGCAGAGATGACAAAACAACACAAGAGAGAAAGAAAGAGAAAGAAAAAAGAAAGATTGAAAAAGAGAGATAGGAAGAGAGAAAAAAGAGAAAAACAAAAAGAAAGGGAGAGAAAGAGAGAGGGAGAGAGAGGAAGAGAGAGCGAGAAAAGAGAAAGATGGGGAGAAAACAGAGCAAGAGAGAGATAGAGAGAGAGAAAAGAGAAAGACAGGAAGAAAGAGAGAGAGAAAGAGAGAGAAAAGAGAAAGACAGGTAGGAAAAAAGAGAAAGGAGAAAAGAGATAAGAAGAAAGAGAAATAGAAAAAGAAAGGAAGAGATAGGAAGGAAGACAGAGAGAGAGATGAAGAAAGAGAGAAAAGAGAAAGAAAAAGAAAGATTGAAAAAGATAGGAAGAAAGAGAGAAAAAAGAGAAAAAGAAAAAGGGAGAAAAAGAGAGAGGGAGAGAGAGAAAAGAGAAAGAGGGGGAGAAAACAGAGCAAGAGAGAGATAGAGAGAGAAAAAAGAGAAAGACAGGGAGAAAGAGAGAGAGAAAGAGAGAGAAAAGAGAAAGACAGATAGAAAGAAAGAGAAAGGAGAAAAGAGATAAGAAGAAAGAGAAATAGAAAAAGAAAGGAAGAGATAGGAAGGAAGACAGAGAGAGAGATGAAGAAAGAGAGAAAAGAGAAAGAAAGATTGAAAAAGATAGGAAGAGAGAAAAAAGAGAAAAAGAAAAGGAGAAAAAGAGAGAGGGAGAGAGAGAAAAGAGAAAGAGGGGGAGA